TGGATTCCAAATCCGGCATTTCAGTACAATGCTGGAGAAAGTTGCAACAAATTGATGACTAGAAGTCTGCGTCCATCTTGAAGATGAAATTCTTTCCACCATCTTGGAGGCCTGACATAACAGATGCTTTTTGATAGTCACCCACCCTTCTCTCAAAAAAGTTCGTCTTTCCTCTGCAGAAAGAAAAAAAAACAAGATCAAGATCAAGATGCCAAACTAAGTGGTAGGACATTAAGCTAATGACTGACCATTCCTACTATCCCACATACTTTGATAGGATGCCACCGGCTTCAGTTCCCTGGAGTTTTTCCCAAGTTTATATTTCACATGGTGAATAGTTAAAAACAGAGAAAGTTTATTTCTAAGTTTCCCTATCCAATGCAGTCATAATAACCCACCAATCCAGTCATTAGCAGCAAATAGATAAATAATTAAGACCTTACAAACCCAGTGAAATATTCATGCAGGATGTTCACTTGTAAATTATCAGTCAACCAGTTCTAAGAATAGATTAAAGCAGGCATAAACCACATTCTCAGAAATACTCACTGCAAAGAAATAAACTCCATCCAATCAAAAGGATTTTCCACATTGTACTTCCTCTGGTACCCTAATGCAACCTGGAAGGTAGAGTATATTCTATTACATTCATATTGATATGTAACACTAACAATAACTATAAAAATTAAACACAAACTCCCCTAATTCCCTAGGAATTAAAGAAAGAAAAAAAATAAAAGAGGAACAAATCATCAGAGATATACCAAGAGTCGATCAGCTACAAATTTTATGTACTGGCTCATGAGATCTGAGTTCATGCCAATCAATGCACATGGGAGGGCCTCACAAACAAACTCGGTCTCAATCTCGACAGCTTCATGTACAATGCCATGAACTTTTTGCCAAGGCAATTGCTTCCGTAACAAACTGTAGTCAATAGCAACAAAATAACTTTCTGTCATTTGCTTATTGAAATTATTTTATCAAATTTCTTGAATTCCCTGATTTTGTGGGGACAAAGAGTAATAAATCAAGGATTTTGGCAAGAAACTCCCTATAAGTAACCATTATCTTTTTCTTACAACCAGATGCGATACTCGAAATTCAAGAACCCTTAAAAAAGCTAAAGAAAAACATGAATTACCTGTACAGAAGACAAGCGAAATCACAATGGAGGCCCTCATCTCTGGAGATAAGCTCATTTGAGAATGTCAAACCAGGCATTAAGCCCCTCTTTTTAAGCCAGAATATGGCACAGAAGCTGAGAACCTCAAATGAACAATAAACAAAGGGCAAAAGGTGAAGAAAAGAAAAGAAAAGTTGTATCAAGCCTCATGACAAAAATCCAAGAAAGAAAAAAGGGTATGTGAGTGCACAGTACCTTCCGGAGAAGAAGATTCCTTCAACACATGCAAAAGCAACAAGTCTCTCTGCAAATGAATTGGAACTGCACATCATGCAGAATAAGAAATTGTTTTAGGCAACAGGTTCCTTGCTTTTAATCATATAGAGAATATGTATGAACTACAAATGAAGCTTGATGACTACAATCAGCTGGTCTTAACAACGACAACTTTTAAAGTTGCAGTATGCAGCAGATGGTACGAAGTTCAAATATAATGTGATATTTACATATGATACAGCAGAGCTCTTAGTTTTGTTAGAAACTAAATATTTTGTTAAAATACATAAATTCCCAATTAGATATAATTTTAAAGATGCCTCCCCCACCACCCATCCCATCTCACTTCCCATGCGCAGAATCTCCTCTTTAGAAAGACCAAGTGTTGTATTCAAAAATTGCAGGCTGTATAACTTTTGTCACTCCTATATGCACACTTTGAACCTACAGACACAACATAGATATCACACAGGAGGAAGTTCAAGTTACTGCATATGTGATTTCCGTTTGATAGAAATGGCCCTCCTACACAACTCAAGACAAACAACCCATTCTCTACTCAGGCCATATTATAACGTTGAATTTTAAAAGTACTAAAGAACTTCAAGGTTAACACATCAAGTACATGATTTTACAAACACATTTAAACATGATTGCATGTATCATGTACAAATGAGTCCAGCCATACAAGAAATATAATCTCCTTTATTAGCAATTATAAAGCATTCCAAACCCAAAGATGTGCCATCTTTGCTTATACCAGGAATAAAGAAGAAGAATGTACATGTACCTGTGTATCCAATCCAACGCCCACTTAGCCTTCCTAGAGACACAAGGAATGCTTTCAATTGCATTGAACAATCTATGTTTCTCCATTGAATCCTTGATATATGTCTCCAAAAGCAAGCTGTACATCTCTGATGATAGACAGCATTTAAAAAAGGAGCAAAGAGAAAACCCCTTAGGCAGGTGGCTCCATACACTACAAATAGAGGAAACAACAGAAACCATGTTTAAAGTTCTACCAGAATGAATATTCTCCATTGCAAGTTGAAATCCATAGAATGCCCGAGCCTGAGAAGAACGAAAAGCCTTAGTGTTAGTTGGTCAACTAGGAGAAAATAAAAATGGATTTTAGTCTAATTATGTGGCAAATCATCAACAGTTCAAAAATTATAGGGTGAAATAGGAGAGAGGGAAAATGTTTTGGGAAATTCAAACACTCTTCTTCATATAAAGAACAGATCATAGCAGACAAATCACCTCTGGAATCTGAACATCGTTTAGAAATCTTGCAGCCAAATTCTCCAAAACAATCCCATCAGATGCGGCAAAAAATGCCAGGACATGACTTACAAAGTGCTTTTCGGAGTCAGACAAAGCATCCCACTGCTGTACATCCTGGGAGAGATCAACCTCCTCAGCTGTAAGCCAATTAACATGTCATTAGGACATGCTGTGGTAAAGACAAAAATGAAACTACTAAACAGCAGATACGAAATCAAGCGACTGAAATATAGGCCTTATGTACACATTCTAAGCATTAATTCAACCACGCCTGCCGAAGACTAGATATGCCGAGCAGAATTGCAAAAGCTCATATGTTCAAGATTGTAGATTCAGGATTCTCTGAGCAAGGCACTACATGCTAATGCTATTTACCATGGGCACAAGCCAAGTAAATCACAAGCACTGCTACCCATTTAACTGTATCTGACATCAGAATACCTTGGTCTTAAGAGGTCATATTGCAGTCAAAATTTGCAGCCGCCAATGGGTTTGGATTTACGTAAGGCTTTATTATTTATTTTTCATGCACGATTCCATAAATAACCGAATGTATAATGTTCTTAGGAGAGAGAACAGAGGTAAATAAAGCATAAGAAAACATCAAATGTGCTCCCTTTCAGAGAGACACAGCAAATGCCAACAAGTATAGTCTAAAGTAATGTTGGGGACCCAATAAAGGAAAAAAAAAGATACTACTTTCATGAACCCACCACAGTAACAAGTCCAACAACTGCAAAACCCAACCGAATTTTGAAATAAAAGTATTAACAAATCCCACTTCAGATTTCTTTTGAATTATACTCTGAAGTCCAAGGAAGCATACCTCCATTTCCAACCCAGAAAAAAAAAAAACAAAAACAAAAATCCAAACAGGGCAAGAACCAAGTTGTCAAAGTACAATTCCATGTGAACATGTTTCCACATTAAAAAAAAATATATATCAATGAAATTGGAGAAACCAACAGATACCCATTTCAAAACACACAGCGATAAACAAGAAAACACCAAAATTAAAATGAAATATGAGAATCTTTCTTCTGTGTTTTAAAGACATATAAAGAGGAAAAATGAACAAGTACCAGTCCAAAAACTGGCCATAGCCTTCTTGTACATCTCCCAGACTTGCTTGTACCTAATAGGAAACATACAAAACCTCTCAGATTGCTCCATTAATATTGGCTCTTGCTCTGTTTCTTCTTCATGCTCTTCTCTGCCATTTGTAGCTCTCTCTATCCCATTTTCCAGAGAACCCATTTTCGCTGGGCTTGTGGGTTTAGAGAGAAACCCTACAAAAACCTCCACAGGAGAAACACTGACGAGGTTGAATTTGATGGGATAGCGTATCAGACAAGGCCGGTCTCTTATGCTCCGGATAGATTTTATTTATTTATTTATTTAGTTCTTTTTTGTTTGTTTTGGTTTGGTGTGCATGGTGGTTATTGGTTAATGTCTGGGACTCCGCTGGACTATGCGACAGGCTCGGAATTTCTACATTTTACGACGACGTATTGGAAGACGGTTATATTTTGGCGGGTTTAGTTGGATTGGGCCACTGGATTGCAATATGAGAACTGGACTATAAAATCTTAGAACCCAACTAGCTTGGGTCTTTGATCCAAAACTCAGTTCAGCGCATGCTTTCTACTGTTTCCCTAAATACACGAAATTTTTTCAAATGTGGGTTAATTGGTAAAGGTAGTAGTGAGTTTGGCTTCTTGAATTCAAGTTTGAATCTCTTCTCTATGGATTAAGTTAAGTTAGAGTAATTTACACTATCGCTTAAAAAAAAATCAAAAAAGTTTATTATTTTTTGGTTGTGTCAAAACCGTTTTTATATGTTTCATTTTTGTGGGTGTTTCTTTTGACCAAAAAATCCTAAAATTTTCGAAATCTGAGAAGAGTATTCTGAATGTATCCCAGAGTTGATTCTAAGATTTCGTAAGCTGAGGTAAACTTTAAAATGACACTCTTCTACAAAATAATTGTTTTTTTTTAAATTTTTTTTATAATTAGCTGCAACTATATTACACAGCAACTATATAGTCTAAACTATAAGGGAGATGATTTCTCACCCACACACTACCAAAGTGTTAAGAAATTTGAACCTGAAACCACTGGACTAAACCTTGTTGGCACGGCAACAATATTGTTAACATTTGAATTTACTACTCTTTTATAGATTTCATATGTTACTAACATTAAATTAGCATATATTCTCTTGTACTTCATAGGCCAAGCCGCCACGTCATTGGCCGGCAGGACATGTTTAACTAACCCGGTTTCTTGTGCTATCTGACATAAGGAATGACGTTTGTCAGTTCAATCAGATGAGGTTGATTCTAAGATTTCGTAAGCTGAGGTTGACTTCAACTTCTGCTTCTCACTGTCTGAAACTGAAACACTGTGAATATCTCAAAGTCCAAAATGTCAAGTGCTGAATGCTTCAAGAACCCACCAGCACTGGGCTCAACATCTGGAGAAGGGACTCTCCTAGAACTTGGGGGACTTAAAACCTACCTCACTGGCCCAAGTGAATCCAAGCATGCCATCCTTCTAGTCTCAGATGTTTTTGGTACCAACCCATCAACATTTTCTTCATTAATCTCTGTTACATAAGTTGATTTTTATTCTTCTTTTTTAGCTTAAATTTGGAAAGATATGGGAGTGTGTTTTTGAAAACAATGATGGGTTATGAGTGAATTGGTTAGAAGAAACTCTGTTGATAACTGGGGCTAATAGCAGATTAAAAGCTAGTTGGGTTTAATACTAGTGGTTTTAAATTTAACAACATGTTGGTTTGCTTGTTTTTGTTATGTTTTTGCAGGGTATGAAAACCTAAATTTAAGGTATGGTTCTCTTCTCCCCAATTATGTCAGGGTCAGTGGTTCTACTTTATTAATCAATAAAAATGATCAGATTCATAAAAGAATGCTTCTTTAGGGACAAGTTATAAAATTGACTGGTACTTCCTTGTTTTCTAGTAAAGAATTATATTAGTCTGCAATCTGCATAAAAGTGCCTTACTTTGACAGAGAAGCAATATATATGAGGGTCTTTGAATCACCCCCCTTAATCAAGATTGCCATTTGAGTTGGGTCTCATTTGTCCTGATATGATAGATATCTGTAGCCATAGTCATTACTTATTCAATGAAATGAATGTTCACATTGTTTGCTCTGGAAAGGAAACTTGCGGATAAAGTTGCTGCAGCTGGATTTTTTGTGGTACTTCCTGATTTCTTTTATGGTGATCCTTTTAATCTTGACAATCCGCAATTTGATCGAGAGTCGTGGCTTAAAGCTCACAGCAGGGTAAGCCTCTTTCTTGATAGAAATAGATACAATCTTTGTAAATGGCAATTATGATCCTTAGGAACAAGAATCAAGAAAAATGAATTATACATTTATGGTTTACAACCAAAGCAGAAAAGGAACAGTTTATATATTGGTTATGTCTTTTGGACTGCTTTAGGAGAAAGGATATGAAGATGCCAAACTAGTGATTGCTGCTCTGAAGAGTCAAGGCATTTCTGCCATAGGAGCTGCAGGCTTTTGTTGGGGAGGTAATTAAGCTTTTTAACTTTAGGGTAAACTAGTTGTCTATAGAGATCAAAGAGTGGTTTAGCTGATAAAATGTGGCTTTCATTGCATCACATTTGCTTCAGGGAATGTGGTGGTGAAACTAGCAAAGATCAATGACATTCAAGCTGCTGTAATTTTGCACCCTGGTCGGTTGACAGATGAGGAAATAGTTGGTAAGTTTTCTTTTTAACCTCATCATCAGAACTAGTTGTTACCAATTAATTAGCAACATGCTCGTACAGAGGTTAAGGTTCCTACTGCAATATTGGGAGCTGAGATTGACAAAACTTCACCCCCGGAACAATTGAAACATTTTGGAGAGATTTTATCAACTAAATCTGAGGTAAGAATCCCTCAGAAAAACTACTCATATTTACTTTGGTACTGCTGGCTTTCCTTTCCAGCATCTAGATGATGCCTAGGTAGCATCCTGGAGTTTCAAGACTTAAAATTGGTACTCAAAAAGCCTTTGTTAAACAAGAAAATAGAATCATCTCTTCCAAATTCCAATTTCTGTGGAAGTAATAAAATAAACTTTCTGCAAGTTTTTTTTATCTAAAGAAGTTATCTTTTTACATCAGATATTCATATTAGTTTTGGCTTTTACAGATTCTGCCTTTGGTGTCAAAATTCACTCTATCATTTATATTGTTTTCAGTTTAATAGCTTTGTGAAAATATTTCCTGGAGTGGCTCATGGATGGACAACAAGGTACAATGCTGAGGATGAATCAGCAGTCAAGAGTGCTGAAGAGGCTCATTTGGACATGTTAAATTGGTTTACCAAGTATGTCAATTGAAAAAAGTAGTTGGTACTCAACTACCAATAAGAATTTACAACTGAGAGATTACAACTATTGTAGCATATATATAGATGATGAGCTTTGAAGCCTCCACCACTCTTGGGCCTTGGCAAACTCTGTTACTTCATGACAGAGTTGACATTTGAAGATGTGGGCAGGTGGGTGAGAATAAAATGATGCATTCACAGTCTCTCTAGGCATTTCTTATAGTTTGATTGGACTGAATAATAGTATATGATTGTGTATGTAACATTGAGACTGAGCAGGTAGTTTGTACTGCCAGCACACATAGCAAATGGTTTGGTTTGTAAAATCATATTTGGAAAGTTCAGAATGAGCCAAAAAAAAATCTACCTATTTCACTTATAAATTTTAATTTATTTTTTTTCAAGGTAATGAAATTCATAATTTCTTTCTCTTGAGTGTGATTTTCAAGTTGCAGTTCATATAGTCACTCATGATGTGGTGGAATCACATTCCCTGTTTAGCTTAACTAATAGTGGTAGGGAACTTCTTTGTCGGGAATATGGTTATGTCGCCTAACTCATGTTTATACGAAGCACAATCGTGTTCATGTTGTTATCATCTAAATGTTATGGGACAAATTAGACCGAATATCGATCCGAAGTGTTCTTTGTTAGTTTGTTTATTTATTTTCGGATTCGTCCCGCCTTGTGACCAAAAACATGAAATTGATGACCAAGTTCCATGTTTCCGACGTTCTATAAACGTGTAACTCAGCCACGTATATACTTCCAACTTTTGGTGACGTTTGAGATGATGCAAACAAATGGGGCACCACCTTTCTTCTTCAAATTTCCAATTTTAGGCTGCAGAAGCTGCAAAGTTTGATTTTGATTCTGACCCAAAAAGATAAAAAAGACAACACCTTTCCAAGATCCTGATTACTTAGAAAGTTCACGCCTTTGATACACAGTGGTGTGTGTTTGTGCATTTTGTGATTCAGAGAAGAAGAAACGATGTCAGGCCCTCAGTGCTGCTCAAACCCTCCAACTATCCACCCATCAAGTGGCTCCGGCCATGTTGAAAAGATTGGTGGTCTCGACTCTTATGTCACTGGCTCCCCTGACTCCAAGCTTGCTATTCTTCTCGTCTCTGACATTTTTGGTACTTTCCCACCACTTCAAAAGCCTATCTCTGTTTTTTTTTCTTCTTTTCGTTTGGTTTATTAGCTTGCATTTTTACTTCATTCTGTGATATGGGTTTTGTTGTTCTTTCCTTATTGTGCATTTGATGGGTTTTTGGTTCAATGGCCACTGATTTTTAGGCTGTGCATGTTAATGGATGCTCTGATTTTGTTTGGTTTACTGCTGAAGGTTGGAGGAATCAGTTTATGTCATTTTCGTTTCCCCTTTCCCTTTGTGGGTTATCTGCTTCCTTCATGATGTTTGATATTCTAGCTTCAATGATGTTCAATTTGGTCATGAAAATACTTTTATGATATCAAAACTTTATTTTCGCCTTTGTGGATACTTTTAGTGGGATACTTATCTTTTTTTATTTTCTCTGTCAATTGAGAAAGAATGTTCTTTTTAAAATACGATTATTGATTTGTATCTGATTATCCAAATCATCTTATATAATTGTTTGCTGTGATTTTATATCACCACACTACTTTTAATATTACATGTTGCTTTGTCGTGCAGGATTTGAAGCTCCAAACTTGAGGTATGACTTATCTCATATCTGTTTCACTTTGTTTACAGCGTATTCATTGTTCGTGCATATAGTTCAGGCCCCTCTCTAATATCGACTCCGGACCAGCAGTTGCTCTTGCTGATTAAATTTGATGACTTGGTGTGCACTTTGGAATAATTTGCTTGAAGAGTACAGTCATTGAGGGTAAAAAAAGGTTATAATAGGTCTATATGTAACTAAATCTTGAAAAATAGTTACAAAGCCATTAGTTTCAGGCTGTCTATCAGATATAACAACTGTCGAATTCCCTGCCTTTTTGAGGTTTTCTGATGCTTTGAAGATCCCTACCTTTATTTAGAGTGTTCACTCTGTAATATATATGAGGATGAAAATTCATCCTCCCAGTTCCTGACATCAGAGATTTTCTTTGAAGGACAAATGTGTGTTGAATCGCGTTTCTGTGTTTCCATAATCTTCTACACTCTTGTACTTCCATTTTGAAGGAAGCTTGCTGCAAAAGTTGCAGCTGCTGGGTTCTTTGTTGTTGTCCCTGACTTCTTGTACGGAGACCCTTATGCACCTGAAGATGCCAACAGACCTCTACCTGTTTGGATAAAAGATCATGGACCGGTCGGTTCTTTTGCTATTACTTTTACTTTTATGTTTATCTATTTTGTTCTGTTTTACAATCTAAGTACTTTTACAAGTATCATTGAGTTTACATAAAAATTTCAGATTCTTATGTTTATAGATTCAGCTTGGCAGTCCAAACTGTTGTTATGTTAAACTTTTTATAGTTGTTCACTGCTTGGACATTTTGAGACAACGTTAAATGTTTCCCTGATAATGTGGTGTTACAAAAGTTGCTATCAATATTGGATTATTCAAGTATTGTAAAAAAACTTAGCGTCTCAATCTTTTTTTGTTGATAGGCCAAGGGATTTGAAGATGCAAAACCAGTTCTTGGAGCTTTAAGAAGGAAAGGTTTTTCTGCAGTCGGTGCTGCAGGCTTCTGTTGGGGAGGTGAGTTAATTTTCCCTTCTTATTAACACTTCGTCACTATGTTTCATTTTGCCTTGCATTGAAACAAAAATGTCTCCTATTTAGATTTTTTTTTTGTGCTAACATTTATGCAGTCTCTTTACTTATCACACCCTTATTTCATTAGATCAACCCATATGGAAAATATTGTTCGGTTGACATAGATTGTTGTCCTGTTCTCAGGTAAGGTTGTGGTTGAACTTGCAAAGCACAACTTTATCCAAGCTGCTGTTCTCTGTCATCCTTCATTTGTCACTGTGGATGATATCAAGGGTAAGATTTCTGTATGTCATATTCAGAAAATGCCTACCTAGTTACCTAGTTGGTATAATTATCATTTTAAACAAGTATCACAATTAGGGTGCTACTATTTGCGCCCACACCTGATCCCTCTATGCCTACCAGCAAATTTTGAAAAGAAAAAAAATATATATATATATATATATTCTTCTCTCACTAATTATTGTTTTCACGTGTGCAGATATTTGAGGAAGACTATAAATAAATAAAACAAGGTAAAAATCAGTCACAGTTTAATGATCTATTCCTGGAATTACTTTTTTCAGATGTTAAGGTTCCTATTTCTATACTTGGAGCTGAGATTGACCATATGTCCCCACCTGAAGTCGTGAAACAATTTGAAGAGGTTTTAACTGCAAAGTCTGAGGTAGGAGTATCTTTGATCCAAACAATCTTCATTACTAGTGCCTTTGTTTTTCTTATATATTATGGCGTATAATTATGCCATGGCTTCTAGTTATAGGTAGAACTTTTCCTTACAAGATCAGATACCATTTTGTTTGAACTTTTACTTTTGTTCTTTATTCTTTAAGAAACGATAGGAAGATACCAAAAACACCCTATTCAAATTAGGGTTCATAGACTCTCAAGACCTTGATGGGGAAAGAGGCACCACTGTGGTAGCTAGCTGGTAGTGAGAAACATTTCAAATTTCTTGAAACGACTGTTGGTTTTCTGTAATCACAGGTTAAAAGCCATGTGAAGATATTCCCAAAAGTGGCACACGGGTGGACCGTGAGGTACAATGTTGAAGACAAAGCAGCTGTTAAGTGTGCTGAGGAGGCTCATCAAAACTTGTTGGAGTGGTTCTTGAACCATGTCAAGGGAATCAGATCATCACTGTAGTGTTTCTTGAACCATACCTGGACTTTTATGTTACGATATATGTATTTAAAGAACTTCTTGGTTGTGGCTTGGGCCTCTCTCTAGCTAGAAAAAAACTCCGACTGCATATCCTGATCCTTCGCATTTCTATGCATCCATCTACCACTGGAAATGTCCTATGCCTTGCCAAAAATGAGAGTTATATAGACATCATAATTTTATAATAATTGATGCGCTATCTTTTTTTCAGAAACAAATAATATTGTGGAAGGAGGAATTTGAACTCAACACTTCGAGTGTAGGGTGAATGCCCTTAGCCAACTAAGCTCTTAAGTACTTTGCAATAAATTGATGCACTTGAATGAAAAAATGACATTTGTTCCACTCTTAGAATTCTAGTTCAATCATTTTCGTTTTTTGGTGTGGAAGGGATAGGAAGGAAGGCCGATACATTCAACACTTCAGAAACTCACCAATTTTGGTGTTAAGGAATTGTCAAGTTAGGACTTCATTCAATAGAGTGGTGACTGAGTGTTTTTTATTAGTTTTATATAAGTAATATTAAGGAGGGAGAAATTGAACCTAGAACCTCAGGTGTGGAGATAGATGCTTACCATTTGAGCTACAAACTCTTGCAAATATTAAAAATTGAAGATAGAGTGTTATTAAAATGAGTAAAGTTAAAATATAGCTAAAAACACTATAAATGGTTTTTTTTCGATACAAACACTGTAAATGATATAATTTTATAAATTGCACTATGGAAATTGTGAAATGACGCATATTTTGGTGCAAATTAAACTCAAGAATCCGATGCTCTAAATTTCACGATTTTTTCGATACGTCATCTAATAAATTCTGTGCTTAAATTGCCAAACAAGGGAATTGTCAATTTCTCCTTTTAAATTCCCAACTTTTAGTTAAATTCTGAGTTATTTTCCTTCATCCAAACGGAGAATAGAGTTAAAGTGGTAAGCAAAAATATTTCATATTTTAGGAGGGAATCATTCTAGTTATACTTTTTCAATTCCTCCATAAATTTCCAACTGGCTTCTTAAATTCCAAAACTTTGGCTAGTCGTTGTCGTCAAACTTGCGCACCTTTTTTCTTTTTCTTTTTTGTGGTAGTTGACCTTTGCCTTCATCCGTAACCTTCTTGCTCATTCGAATAGAGAGGGAGAGAGAGTGTGTTTGTGCATTTTTGTGGTTCAGAGAAAAACAAACAAATGTCAGGCCCTCAGTGCTGCTCCAACCCACCAACACTGAACCCATCCAGTGGCTCCGGCCATGTTGAGAAGTTTGGTGGTCTGGACACCTATGTCACTGGCTCCCCTGACTCCAAGCTTGCTATTCTTCTCGTCTCTGACATTTTTGGTACATTTCCTCCCACCCACCACTTCAAAAATCTATCTTTATTCATTTGTTTCTTCATTATATGATATGGGTTCATGTGCCTAACTGCGTATTTGAGTGATCTGTTGGTGTTTTTGGTTTATTGGGTACTGGTTTTTCAGTTGTGTATGTTAATCGCTCCTCTGAGTATGTTTGGTTGACTGATGAAGGAATCATTTTCTGAATTTTCCCTTTCCCTCTTTCGTCTTTGGATTATCTTTTAAAAAAAAAAAAAAAATTCTTGCTAGTCTCAATTTGGTCATGAAAAAAAATGATATTCGTAACTGCTTTGTGACGAAAGCTTTATTTTTTGCCTTTGTATGTTTACTTGTGTCCCCCCCAGTTTCTGTTTCTTTCTTCCTTCCTTCATTCCCCGTTTGTTCCCAATTGGGAATTCGAAACTGGGGTGAAGGAAGTAGCGGTATTAGTGTAAAATAATTGAGTTTCAATTCTTCCTTTCTTCCAACTTCAAGCCATCTGCCTCTACCATAATTGCTTGCTTTGATATATTATCAGGACACCACACCCCTTGCTAATATTACGTGTTGATTTTCCATGCAGGATATGACGCTCCCAACTTAAGGTATGACTTATTCCCACATCTGTTTTCCTGTAGCTACTTTATTTCTTTTTGCATAGTGTGATAGATAAGTTCTCTCAATTGAATTTTCTAAATGTTTTCCCTTTTCCAATACCAATTCTGGACCACAAACCACACTTTGCTGATTAAATTTGATGTCTTGGTCAACACTTTGAAATAACTTAATTAAAGAGTACAATCGTTAAGGGAGAAATTAAAAAGATTATACTAGATTTATATGTAACTAAATTGTGAAAATATTTACAACCATTAGCTTCAGACTGTCTATCAGATGTAGCAACTGTATTTTGAGTGTGGACACTGTACCATAATGAAGGATCGTTCGTTCTTTTAGTTTCTAACATTGGAGATTTTTTTCGGAGAACAGTTGTGTTATTCCCCCGATCAATCATTATATCATTTGTATGATTTCATAATATGAGATACAACTAATGCCACCTGCCTTCTGTTGTGAAGGAAGCTGGCAGACAAAGTTGCAGCTGCTGGCTTCTTTGTTGTGGTCCCTGACTTCTTTTACGGAGACCCTTTTGTGCCTGGAGATGATGGATCCTATGCCACTCTACCTGCTTGGTTAAAAGATCATGGACCGGTGGGTTCTCTTATCATGCAGGCCAAGATTCTTTTGTTTATTTATAATTCAAGTACTTTTACAGTGTGATTCTTGAATTCACACAAAAGTTTCAGAACTTTTTGCGAAGTTCTTGGCTTTTCTTAAATTGAAAATGTGTGTGGGTTCAGCTTAGAAGTCCAATTATTCTTGTTGCTTTTAAAGTTTATATGGTTTTTAACTGCTGCTTCCACCTTTTTGACGAAAAGGAATAAAAAATCTGATTTTGTGGTGTTTTAAAATGCAACTGTTGAGTGTGTCAGTATTGTTAAAATGTTGAGCTTCTGAACAGGACAAGGCATTCGAAGAATCAAAGCCAGTACTTGAAGCTTTAAAAAGTAAAGGGGTTTCTGCAGTTGGTGCTGCAGGATTCTGTTATGGGGGTGAGTTCATTTTCCGTTTCTGTTATCTTTATTTCTTTATTTTTTGATTTATTAGTTTCTTTTTCAGTTTAACAAAATCTCTCATATTTCTACAGTTGTCTTTTCCCTTTTTGGATAATTTCTCATTCTTAATTCATTAGTTCAATTCACCCAATATTGGAAATATTGTTTCGGCTGACATTGAATTATTTGTGCTGTTTTCAGCCAAGGTTGTGGTTGAGCTTTCAAAGCATGACTTTATCCAAGCAGCTGTTCTGTGTCATCCTTCATTTGTCACTCTGGATGATATCAAGGGTAAGATTGTTGTATTTAATATTCAGGAAATATTTACGTAATTAGTATAATCATATTGTAATAATTATAATCAATAGGGTGCTTCTATTTGCAGCTAAAATGTCTATTCACACTCACTCTCTCTGTGCCTACCAGCAAAAATAAGATTTTTTTTTCTTCTTCTTTCTACGCATAAACCCGGTTACCCCAATAATATTGTTGGTGAGAATAGCACTGCAAAGAAAAGCCAGAAAAAAAATTGTTTGAGGGGATGTTTAAGTAAATCTCTTTGAGGGTTTTTTGGTAATAAGAACTTTCTTGACACTAAAAAGTGAAAGGAGCACTCGAATTGTTATTGATTTCGACTGGGGAGATATTAAAGGAAGAGAAGAACTGTGGTATTCTAATTGTTGAAAAAAATAAAGTAAAAACAATTCAGTCACAGTTTATTGATCCATTCCTGGAATTGCTTTCAGCGGTTAAGATTCCCATTTCGATACTTGGAGCTGAGATTGATCAGATGTCTCCACCTGAAGTCGTGAAACAATTTGAAGAGGCTTTAACTGCAAAATCTGAGGTAGGTTATATCCTCAATCGAAAGTCTTTAATAACTTTAATGTCTTTGTTGATTTTAATCATGGACATCCCTTAGTCCTTGAAATGAATTAAGATTTTGTCTATCTTTAATGTCATGTGCTATATGTAGAATTATGTCATGACTCATAAGTTATAGGTAGAACTTGGCCTTACAAAATCTTTCAAAACCACAGTTCGACTTGTGCCCACTTTTGTTTTTCAGTAACCATTCTTCCTTTTAAGTGGGCACAAGTCAAAATGTGATTTGCTATCTCAACTTGATGGAGAAATGACTCTTTATATATATGGTGTCATGCATTGTTCGGACCAGTCATATACCATCTTGTATGAGTTTCCCACCTTATTATTAGTGGTGGTGATCAACATTTTGGGAAATGTTGTTTCGGCTGACATTGGGAACACAACAAACGTCTGCTTTAATTAACTCAAGACCTTATTGATAGGTAAAAAAGTACCACTGTTGTAGCTGATAGTGATTAAAATTTAAGTTAGTAGAATAACTGTTGGTTTTATGGACTCGCAGATTAAATGCCATGTGAAGATCTTCCCGAAAGTGGCACACGGGTGGACTGTGAGGTACAATGTTGAAGATGAAGCAGCTGTTAAGGCTGCTGAAGAGGCTCATCAAGACTTGTTGGAGTGGTTCTTGAACCATGTCAAGTGAATTCTATCATCCCTATGAAGCGTTGCATTATCACTTAAGATGGGAACAGTTTGGACCTTATTTTATCAACTGCACTTTATTTACTATGGATCACAATAATGCCTGCAATTTAGGTACCATTTTATGTAAATTTAGTTGCTTGGAGGACAGTTTAGGTTTGAAATGCATTGTTTAAAGTGAATACCAAATGGGATATTCATCATTCAAGTAAGAAACTGTCATGTAAGATGAGAACTACGTGGTGCTTATATTTTTGCAAGAAACGGTGGAGTTGAAGTTGTAGATGTGGACCCTTATTTTCTGAAGCATCTTAAGTTTGGTGTTTGGTAGAGTGGTATGATTCTTTGATAGATTCCAACCTATGCCCATAAAGACTGATTTTTTAATTATTGTAATGGGTTTGAAGTTTTGTTTTCTTAATCAGCAAAGAAATAATCCAAACCAACAATATTTAATTAGTTTTTATTACTTTATAATTACTTTTAATCATATTGGTTCATGAAATTGTCAAACCAACAATATCAAATTTGCATGAACACTGAACATCCTCCAGGTTCATTACCCAAAAAAAAATCTTCACTCTCTTATATTTTTGGAATAATTTTTTTAGAGCGCTAATAATAGTTTCCTATATAAATTGACGGACATGGACACCATTGGTACTTCGTTTTTGTTCTGGAAGTTTGAAAATAAATTTATAGAAATATGTCAAGAACTTTTTAAAATTTGGATCAGCAATAAGGCTAATATTACTAAATTTAGATCAACGACAAAAGCCCATGATTTAAGGTTGAATGTTTAGGGTTCATGGCATCATTTCGCATATTTCGCTTTTGGATTTAAGCTTAAATTGTTCTTTTCAACTTTTCGCATTAGGCTTAGGTCATTCATGGCATCATTTCAAGTGGCCCTGCTCCTAACCAAACAAAGGGTTAATTACAATTTAGTACCTTGTACTTACACCCTTAAGACATGTTAGTTCCCGTATTTTCAATTTTAACAATCGCATACCCTTAGTTTGTAAATTTTTTGCAATGTGGTTCGCCGTTAGGGTTTCTGTTAGATCTCTCTGTTAACTGCCTACGTGGCATTGTGGGTCCCACATTTTTTAATTTTTTAATTTTAAATGGATTAAAATATGAATAAAATATTAAAAATAAAAAAATATCAAAATATCAAAATATCAAAATATCTCCAAGTGGGCTCAAACTCAATAATTCGACCTGACCAAACATGAAAAAAGAAAAAAGGACAAAATTAAAAATTCTCAAACAACGATTTTGCTCAAATTTACCAGTTCAGTTGAAAAAGATCTAATTTGACTCCAACTCCGAAGTTCAAAACCC